CAGGGAGAGGAGCCAGTGCTGCTGGCAGCACCTCGGGTGAGCCCCTCATCTGCAGCTAGGGAGGAGAAAATGAGCCCTTCTGCGTATGGTTAGTATTGCAAAAAAGGAAATATTTGGAATTTACACAGAGTCTGAGCTTATAATCTTCATTTTGCTAATGAAAGATAAATAATAACCTATAAATAATAGAAATAATAATAACAAATAAATAATAATAAAAGAAATAACCTATATAATGGCTTCAGAGAGATAAAATTATAGTGTCATTCATGGTGGATATCCAGAGCCCTTTTGCACAGGTATTAAGAACGGATCTTCCTAGTGACTTTTTAGTTATTTTGGGAAAATATATTGAATTGGAGTAGGGAAAAAAGCGTACTCGTGGTGTTTGGGTATTCCACATATCAGAGACTTCAAAATCTTTCAAAGCCTGATAGACAAAGTAGTAAATTTGCATTTTCAGAGCAGTTAGTGGACTGAGGAGCAAGTGATGTTAAATACAAATAGTTGCAGAGTGCATTAATGCAGTGATTGAGGAGAGAAGTGAGCAGTAAATGAATTTGACTTTTTAAATTTTATGATTCTATGATTGTTTTATCTTCAAGATAATACTGCATTTTTGGTATCTCCAGAAAAATACTAGCAGGTACATAGAAAATCTGTTCAAGTTCCATGCAATCAGAAAGGATCATGAGTGTTTGGTGCAGGCAGAGCAGTTAAGAAGCCTGTATCGTTAGAAGACTCTAAATTGTTGGTGATTTCTCATCTGGAAAAGTCCCCTTTCTTTCTCAGCTGCCTCTTACCTACCCCCCTGTTGCCTGTGCTCGGTAGGTAAATGGGGATCGGTGTGTAAGTGCAGTGAACGCGTGAGGTCTGGGATTCTGGCCGTTCGCTCGGAGGAGGTGGAGCCGGTGTTCCCGTGCGGAGCCCGGAGACCTCAGCAGGACCCCAGCCTGGGCTGCAGTGCTCTGGCTGCGGTTTGGAGCAGGATGAAGGTCCAGCTGCAAATCCTGCAAAGGAAATGTGGAATCTCTTGCTTTAGCATAATTTGTGCTCCTGTGGGGACCTTCCTGCTAACTTGGGAGCTCCTGCTGATAAGAAGGAGGACAAGGGCATCCTAAGGAGCGGTGCTTTTCGGAGAGCCGGTGGGGTTTTTCTGTGTTCACGTTCATTTGAAATCACTTGTGCTTCCTGTGTAAATAGTCATTCGTCAATAGTTAGATTTCAGTTAGAATTTTTAATGTGTCCCCCAGACTAGAGAATTACTTGATCACCACTTGATCAAAAGATTGTCACTCCTGTGAGTTTCGGTGTGCGTGCTGTCTTATTTTAGTAGGGATTTGTTGGCAATTCTACATCTTCTCCTTCCCTGTCACCCTGCTGCTGCGTGTAGCTGTGTTTTTATATTTTGCATCTCTTTGTCCTCCTCAGGCTGAAGTATTTCAGCTGCTGCTGTGTCAGGCTTGTGACTTGTCATGTTTATTAATGTCAAGTCACTGCTGAAAAGAGTTGGTGCTTCTGAGGAGCTCTGGGGTGAAGCGTGGTGGTTTGTCCCAGCTCTCGCCCGCCCTGCACACTGCTATGTTTGCAGATGTTGTGCAGTGAGCGAGCTGACAGTTCCGGAGCCTCGCCGGGGACCCTGTTGCAGCAGGACACGTTTGAGCAGAAGCAGTTTGCAGAACTTCATACACTTACACTCCTGCCAAGGCAAACTCTGAGCCACTTGAGTTCGCTACAAAAGCCCGGTGGCGGTGGTTGGAAGTAGCCCACAGTGCGTCTTATATTCCGAGCTGAATGTGAATGTCTTTGTGGCTGTGCAGAGTAGTAAATAATTGAGTTTGATTAGGGAGAGGGACCTCATTATCCCCCCACCTGTGCCCAGCTGGTAGGGGAGGGTCGAAATGAAGCCATTAGCTGTCTCTCTTACTGGCATCTCAAAGAGCTCAAATACATCTGTGTCTTATTTTCTCTTCTGGCACAATCAGTCCAGCAAGCTAAGCAGGCATGACCGAATTTGGCAAGTTCCAAGGACTCTGGCAAAGTGACACAAGGAGAAGATGGAGGGCAGTCATTCTGGCTTCTAACTGCCCATTAGTCTAGCGAGTTGTGTTTTTGGAAAATGTCTGTTGCGGAAAGCAGTGCTCTGTCCAATGTCAGACGTTCACAAACTGCCCGCTTTGGTGCCGGCAGTCAGGCGAAGCCCGGCGTTCGTGTGGGTGCAGACCTCGGGAGATGCTGAAGTGACACCTGAAGGGCTCTGAACGAACGTGGCTTAAAATAAATCTGCACTGTCATTAGGGCTCTTTCCATCTTATTATTCCGCCTTGACACGCTCGGTCTAATGAGTTTCAAGGAGTTGTAGCTCAGGTGCCAGTTGGCACCCGGGTGAAATGCCGCGTGCGGTTCCTCTGCCCTGTGGCACTTTTTTTTTCTGTTTTGATATTCTGTTTAAATGGCTTTGACTGGTATATATGTATTGCTCAAAGCAGCACCTCTGCTGTACCTGATAGATGAAGGCTTGAAACATTTTTAAAATAGCGGGCTTGCATCGTACTTTACAAATTCAATTCCAATTTGTGCTGAGGTTGCAGAAGCTCTCCCCCAAGGCCTGTTGTCAGTCTCACAGGGGTGCAGGTTACCTGCGACGGGTAGTTTAGAATATTCATAAAATGCAAATTTAAGGAAGTTATGTGGGTGCCAAAGTGGAGAGGGTGGCTCCCAGGACAGTGCCCAGGGAGGGGCAGGACCCCCAGAAAGGAACCAGAGCAGGCGCCTGGCTTGTTGGGTGTCTCAGGAGAGCTTGCGGCCGTGTCAGAAGACAGGCGATGGGACTGCAGAGCGCCCAGAGCTGCCCGAGGCTGACCTGGGTGTGCGGAAGCAAGATCGTTTAGGCTCAGAGAGAAAACAGTGGCTGGTGCGGTTATTCTGGTTCCTGTGACTGTGCGCTTTACCTTAAAGAATTTCCCAGCTTAAGTGAAACGCATTGCATCAGCTGGGATTTTTAGTCTTAACTCTGACTTCGTGCTGATGGGGTGGAAATTGTTCTTAGGCGCTCACAGACGCTTCCACCCGTGCCAGCCGTTCGCTGCATCAAGCTCTAAGTGCTTCAGTAAATTCCACTTCAGTGTTTAAAAAAAAAAATAAATTGCTCCAGATTGGCAAGGCAGCTTTGGAAAAGTTTGTTTCTCATTCAGAACAGAAGCTTTTTTTCCTTTAAGGGTTGTTTTATTTTTTCACGCAAACCGAGCCCGTGCAGAGGATGCTGCCTGCTCCACGCCGCCTCTGAGCCCCGTCCCTGCCGGCAGCACCCGGCGTCAGCCCCCCGGTGCTCTGGCCTCTTCTGTTGTTTTTCTTTTTCCTCTTCTGAACCTTGCCACCCTGGCTCCAGCGCCGAGGCTGTAAAAGAAGATGGAAAGCCAAGTTACCGCAGAATGATCACTATCATTAACATTCACGGGTGGTTCACTTATCATTCCTGACTGCACAGACATGGCAGCCGTTATGAAACGTCCACAGGTGTAGCACGATGATACATATTACATTGTGCCACAATGGATTTATGTATTCTGTAACAAAAGAAAAGTGTAATGAAAAAATACAGAAGGTAATCCTTTATTCCTCCACTGCACAATTTATCAGTAATGCCTGCGGATGATAAGTGCCAGGGATTTCCTTTGCTTGATTTAACCTTGTCACCCAGGTATGTTTTTGCAAAATGACAGAAAATCCAAGCGGAGGAATTTCTTTGGCTCCCAATTTGTAAGCAGCAGTTTTAATTGATTGAGTAGCATCTGCTTGTCTGTCCCCTGCTCTAGTGCGGTGGCTTGAAATAAAGGTATCGCACGTTAGCAGAGTGAGCTAAACCATGTAATTTATAATCGCAGTTAGGGATATGCTGGGATTAGGTGGAGTGAGGACAGTTCCCGCACGGTATGGATGCGGAGCACAGCTGGGAGCTGGCAGGGCGGGGGGGTGCGTCTCCTCCGGGAGAGCCGGGCTGGGCTGGTCCCACGGGGCGGTGGCGGTAGATGGATGATGTTTGGGGCGATGCAGGGCGGAGGTGGCTCCGAGGCTCTGCCTGTTTGATGGCGCTCCAGCGCACCGGGGCCGGCGTGGGGCTCCTCCGCGGCGCAGGAAATGCACTCCAACGCGCTGGCCTGACCCCGGGATGACGGCAGAATTTCTTTGGTCTGGGCTTAAATCCCCTCTTGGCTCAGATTTGTGGGTTTACTGAGTGCTAAAATGTCATGGTTGAGGTTCCGCGGCGCATTGTTAGAGAAACGAAGCGCTGCACGCTCGGGGAGCCGGAGCAGAGGAAGGGCAGAGTCGTGCGTCTGGACCGGGATGGGTGTTCAGAGCCTCTGGCTCCGCTCCAGAGCAAATACCCGAAGGTTTACAAATGCAGAGTGCGCTTTACATTTCACTGCTCTTGCCAAAGTCTCACTTACTGGATAGCACACTAAATATAGTAAAACACAGAGGTTTTTCTTATTTTGCTTTGATCAGTAAAATAAACTTTTAAAGATTGTTCTGGGATGAGATCCAGCTTCTGAGGCAAAGAATGGCCGCGGCTCAGGCATGAGTTAGTAATAGAGTGTCAGGAGAACTGGTCTGACAGTTCTCAGGCCAGCTGCTCAATAGAAAGGATCGACCGAGTCGGGATGGTCTGAAACACGAGCGGCATCGCCAGCAGCATGTGCTCCTTAGCCGCTGAAGTGTCGGGAATCCAGAGACAATCTTCCATTTTCGGGCGGCTCCAGATACGTGTCGGTGGGAGCAGCCCCGGGCTGGCTCAGCCGTGGTCGGTCACTGACCCGTGGTGCAGGCTGCAGCCCCTGCTGCGTTTGTGGGAAAACACAATTGAGAAATATTTTGTACTGAAGGAAAAAAAAACTAAAATTGTGACTCCAGTCGTTTTGGCCATAGAAGGTTTCGGAAGAGTTTCTTCATCTTTGCTGGGGTTTTTTTTCTGCAATTTTTTCATTTATTTTCTTGTATTTTGGTTGCAGTTCTCTGGAAACCTTCTTTCTGTGTTGCAGAGCATGGTGTGAATGAACAGAAGGTGTCTTTGGAATCGGTGTTCTGATGGTCGGGTCCAGTGTGCGAGGCTTTTCTCGTAGCGCTCCGTTGACAAACATCATTTAAATAAAAGCGTAAAGGTAGTTCCCTCCTTGTAATTATAGCGTAACTGGATAAGAGGTTTTTCACTTGAAAAATCCACTAAATTTAGCTGTGCAGGGGGGTTTGGGCTGGAGCTGTGGTGGCTTTGGGGAGCGAGGTGAAGGACCAGGAGCTGCTGGGCAAAGCCGAGATGATGTGCGGTGCTCGTGCACGTTGCAGGGCTCCGTTACAGCTTAAGGGAAGATTTGCTCATTAGTAAAGAGTTTAGCAAGGTCTCTGCTGGCTGCGAGGCGTTAGTCAGAACCCCAGCACCCTGGGGATGTGCTGGGGATGGCAGTGTCACCGAGGATGGCAATGTCACCGCGGCAGAAGTGGCTGGTACTCCCTCCTGTGGAGCAGCAGGCTCAGTTCTGCTCCGTGGCAGAAAGAGACGGAAAACGTCGAGGCGTGAAAAGGTTGGGAATATTTGGTATGAAGGCGAGTAAGATAGAGTTATAAATAATAAATGGTCCAGAGAACATAAATTTGGGGCTTTTAGGCAGTTTCATTTTGCCAGGAACAAAGAGAATTGAGAGTGAAATTCCGATGAGACTGACTCACGGCTGATGGGAGGGAGACGCGGCTGGATCCCAGGGACCTGGGGGGCTGGCTGCTGTGGGGATGCTGGAAGCAGCCCCCGCTGATGTGTTACCTACAGCGGGCAGGTGCTTGTATTTTTTATAATGCAGAGATGACCACCCGTGGTGGGTTTCGTGACCATCTCTTCAGTGTGTGCCCCAGCAGGGATGTCACTGGCCACCACGGCTGCGTTCCGGTCGGTGGCCGGGGTCAATCAATGTTCACGTGTGGGGGGGCTCGCTGATGCCTTTGTTCACCTGGGCTGTGCGGCGGCGTGGGCTGGGGGTGCCACGTCTGCGGAGATCTGAACCCAGCCCTGCGTTCCCGGGGTTTGGGTCTCACGGTGCCGTGGAACACGGGCTTGTTCTTGGTGCCGTTGTGCTGCCTGGGTGGCTTTGGGCTGCCAGCAGCCTTTAAAACCATTCCAGCTGGGATACCCAAACAGAGCCCTACTCCCCGATTACCATTCCTCGTTGCCAGATACAGAGCTCCTCCTCCTCCTGCCTCAATAGCTTTGCAAAACAGTTTTTTCCGCCCAGTGCAAATCTCTCCCCAGTGCCTGGCACTCTGCGGCCGCTGCCTGGCTGTCTGCAGTGACATCTACTGACACAGCGGAGACTGGCTGGCGGCGCCCGTGGGGTTACCCCGCGTGT